CTCTGACACTTGCAAAGGTGATCTAAGGAAGAACGTTAGAATATGGACTTCTCAGTTTGAATCCTGCTTATGCCATGTCCTAATCCTGTGTGATCTTGCAGGAGTGACTTGCCTACCCTCCAATGTTTCTCCAGGTGTGAAGTAGTATAGTAGTAACATTACCTACCTGCCAGTTGGTAGGTAGTTTGGAGGTTACTGCATATAAAGTGCTTAGCACAGTCCTGGCTTAGCACAGCGTGTTCATTGTTCAATATGTTAGCTATTAGTATTAAGGAGTTCACACTCTCATAGGGAAACAGATCTTATCATTCACATTAAATATAGTACAGTAAAGCCCTCTTATGGAGCTCTGAACAAAATGCCATAGGACCTCCGATGAGAAAGAAAATCATGAACTCATTTATAATCAGTTTCATTGAGTGTTCTTTGCAGTGGTAATCATGGCTGACAGTCATGGGGGGGAGGTCTCAGAAAAGGTGACGTCTAAACTAGGCCTTGAGGATTGAATTTTCCAGTGGGAAAAAGGTAGAAGGGGTGTCCAGTGAGCTAGAGCATGAGCAGCTAGCATGAGGAGAGGCATAACAGTCTGCAAATGGGTGGCATGTCCAGGGACCAGTAAGTGGTGTGGAAAGAACACAGAAGCTGCTGCCACAAGGTCAAGTCAGCACCAGGGTTCAGCCATCATGGCGGCACTAGAGAGCAATGTAATCAAATCGATGTTTTACAGAAATAACTCAGCTACTTCCTGGAGGATGCAATACATAAAAGAGAGACTGAAAGCGGGGAGCCTGTTATGACATGGTCATTACAGCCTGAACTGGGGCAGTGACAGCAAGAATGAAATGAGAGGGATTTGGAGAGAGAACAGAAAGCACTTGGTGAGCAACTAGATGTGGGGGGCAGAGGAGTGATTCGGGGATGACTTCGTATTCTAGCATGAAATATGAGAAACAAGAAGAGAAGCAACGTTGGAGAGAAAGATAATGAATTCAGTGCTATAAATATTAAGTTTGGGGTCTCTTTAGGAAGAATATCCAAGTGGGCAGTTTAGAATAAAATTCCGGAGTGCAGGACAGACCCATCTAGGAGGGTCGGGGGGGAGGGCAAGAGAAAGAGGAAGTGACACTTAAAAAACAACTTAGGCATATCTGCGCAGCCTAGCTGGTTCTAGGAGACAGAACCGGAACTGAACAGATACCTCTCCAGGATAAACCCCTCTACACCGGCAAACTGGTTCACTCACTGTACTTTAATATGCCTTGTACGTTCACTCCACACCTTCTCTTTCCACCATTCACCACATACTGATTAAACATCTAGTATTTGCCAGGTATTAGTCTAGATTTTGGTGACATACAAGTAAAAAAGTCAAAACCCTGCCATCGGGGAGTTTATGTTTTAGTGCAGGAGATAGTCAGTAAGCAAGTAACCAAATAAATGTAAAATGTAATTTCAAGTAAATAAACACAATAAGGAAAAATAAAGCAGGTAAGAGGTTAGAAAGTTCCGGGGGTAGGGGAGAGAAAGGGGAATTCTTTGAAATTTGCGGTCTGGGAAGTTACCTCTGCTGAAGGGACATTTTAAACAGAGACCTAAAGTGATGGAGAAAGGCATGTGAGACTCTGGAGAAAGTGTGTTTCAGGCAGAGGGAAGAACAGGTACAAAGTCCCTGAGGTAGGAACCAGTTTAGTATGATTGAGAAACAGCGGGTAGCAGCTTGGCTAGACTAGACCAAATAGCCACAGGGCATCTTGTGACATTTCTGGTACTACTGACTGATTTGTTAACTAATGCAGTGGTAAAGATTTTCACAGACTTGTATCCTATCTTCCCAACTCCATGCAAGTCTATTGAGGGCAAGGTCTACTACGTTCAAACTCCATACTCCCACAGTACCTAGAACAATACCTTGTACATAGTAGGTGGGGTTTTTTTTTTCACTCATTATATAATCTATCATTATAAACTGGTAACTTCTAGACCTGCCTGTCCCACTCTCAAACACTTCTGGACCTATTCCAGAAGCTGCTAACCATCTGGCAAATCATTGGCGAGCTACTTCTAGGGCCGTTGTGATCAGTAAGAAACTCAAGCTATGTCCAGATCAACACAGAAAGCCCAAACCAAGACTTACCCTTGCTGTTTGCAAACCTGGTGGTTTTACTTAGGCTCTAATAGTGAAGACTTGAAATATGGGGAAAATCGGCACATGCTCAGAGAAGCTGTTGGCTTTGCCACAGTTCTATGCTTAAATATTATAATAATATTATTATTATCCCACAGGGGTGTCATGAGGATTAATGAGACATTTTCAAATTACTTTGAGCTACTCCACTGGGGGGTACTAAATAAATGGTATGTGTTCCTCATGAAGTGCCATTTTTGACATTGATTTGTTGTGATGGGTTCTGCTGTCCAACAGGGCTGGAATTCGCCCACCAAATCATTTCTTATAAACAAAAGACTAGCTGTCAGAAGGCAATGGTTTTCAGTTAAAATAAATATGAAGTGAAGTGAACTAGTCAGCAATCAGAAGCAAATGGGCTGCTGTTAGAAATCTAATATTTATTAAGCACTCACAGTGATCAACATAAGAGTTTCACAGTGTGATACAGTAGAGTGAACACTGGATTTGGAAATGGTCCAAGATTTTAGGCCCAGCTCTGCCACTAAACAGCTGTGTGGGCTTGAACAAATTGCTAAACTTCTCTGGGCCTCAAATCTAAAGTGAAGGCTGTCCTAAGAAGCTCATAATCAGTCTTCCAGACAAGGCAAATATATGAAAGGAATGGAAAGAGTCATTTCTTGAAGGAAAGATACTTCACAGGACCATCCATCAAAGGACCATCCTCTGTTCTGGTCTTCCTTGCCATTGATTAATATTAATTCCAGTACTAATTCCTGCAAATGGAGAAATAAATCACTTTCTAGGTCAGACACAGAAGTGCATGAAATATTTGGTCTTTAAAAATAGGGTCTTTGCCTTTCCATGAGCCAACCTGCAGCAAGCCGTCTTATTCTTAGCTTTAAATATATGAATGATGGATTATACTGCTAACCTAATCACCAGCTCAGAATCAGTGTTCAGTTTTGTGAGAGTGTTTCACATCGTTGTCTACTTTTTCCATCTTACAATATACCATCTGCAGTGCCTGGCACTGACCTAGAGGTAAAGTGAAAGATAAAAGGACAGTAAAGAACGTAAGTGCTTGTTGTATCCAGAAAAGGCCCAGGTGGGATAACTGAGTAATGTACATACTGTGAGCTGCTTCCCCTCACTCTATCCCAGGAATCCCAGTGATCCTGGGTTCAGAAAGGAGAAATGCCTGGCACTCCAGAGCAGATAGAAATACAAAGAATCACTTGTTAGGGAATTCAATTCGACAAACATACTGAGCTCCCACTACTTATCAGGCACTTTGGTAGTTTCCAGGTATATGAATGGAGTAAGACCTGGTTTCTGCCCTAGAGAGCCTCGGTTGCAGTGGTGGTGGGAAGCAGTGACCACAAATCGCAGTTACTTGCCGTTGAATTGTCAGCTAAGGGATGATGGATGAGGGAGTAGTCCAGACAACAGTTCCTCTTTCGTAAATGATTTGAATGATACAGTAGGAAGTGCATTATAAAGCCTAGGGTTGGCTCTAAATTGGAGTCGCTAAAATGTCTAGACACAGAAATTGTGTTCAAAATGACCACAGCAATTTGAAGAAACAGTTTAGGTTCAAAGGGGATAAAGTTGTTATCTCCAGGCCCAAATCAAGCAACAGAGATACAAGTTGCCGGCTGAATGTTCTCGAAGTTTCACGACTAGGGCGTGGCAAACCCTACCACAAAGCCAGCAGTGGAACATTGCGGGTCTAGGTGCCACTCTCGCTCCAGTCCCTCCCACGACAGGCTTCGGACGAGATGTGACTTTCCTTTCTCATTTTCCTCTCATGTTCCCACCGACAGGAAACCTCGCTCTTCGGAGGAGACCAGGCTGCCCTCGCCAATCCCAACCAGAAACTCGGTCCTTGATTCTTCCCCCCTGAAATCTCAGCCACGAACGTTTGTGAGAACTATTCGCTACCGAAGCAAAGTCCCTGAATGCCTTTAATGACCCATCTTCTTCAGACCCCGGGTGCGAAACTCACCAGCACCCATTACTCCGTTGGGCTCCTCATGCACACAGGAACTAAAGTGTTTAGAGCGCGGCCGGCCTGGAGGTCTTCCAGCCTCAGCGGGCTCAGGGTGCCGGCACAAGGCTGGCCTGCTCCCCAGGGCGCCCACCTGGCCGGTCACTCCCTCCCTCGACCAAGCTCCCCGCCCAGAGCGCATCCCCATCCTCCCTCCTCGCCCTCCCCGGCCCGGCTGGGATTCTTCTCCCGGAGCTGGGCCCCGGTGGCGCGTGCAAGGCGAGGCGGCCGCCGCTCGCTGGGCGGCTGGGTGGCCCAGGCCGGGCCAGAAAGCCCCGCGGCTGGGACGTGGCCTCGCGGGCCGGGAGAGGGGAGGCGCTGACCAGAGGCCGGCGGGGGTCCGGGGGCCTCATTCCCTGAGGGCCGCCTCGGCCAGGCGGGTATCGCGGGGGACGCCGAGGTGCAAAGCGAGGACGCTTGGGCGGCCCAAAGGGGCGAGGCGGCGGGCAGCGGGCAGCGAGGGGCCCGGCAGGGCGGCACGCGGGAGCTGGGGAGCGGGGCGCGCACCCGCGCGGTGGGCGGGCATCCTGAGGGGCCGCGGAGGAGCGGGCGGGCGCGCGCCCCACGGGGGAGGGGCGGGGGAGCGCGGAGGCGGGCGAGGAGGCGTCTCCCCGGAGGAGCCCGGCGGAGCGCGCCAGATCCACACAGAGCCTCGCGGTGGCAGCGCGGGCGGCGACGGCAGCGGCTGCGGCGGCGGCGGCGGCGGCAGCAACAGGCGGCGGGCCCGACTCGGGAGGAGAGGGGGGCGGAGGCGGCGGAGGCGGCGGAGGGGCGGGGAGCGCGAGGAGGAGCGACGCGGCCCGCGCCGCCGCCTCTTCCCGCCGCATGGACGAGCACCTCAGCCTGCTGCGCTCGCCGCCGCCGCCCTCCGCCCGCCACCGCGCCCACCCTCTCCAGCGCCCCGCGAGCGGCGGCGGCGCCCACACCCTGGTGAACCCCGGCTACGCCGAGCCCGCCGCAGGCCCCGCGCTGCCGCCCGACATGACGGTGGTGCCCGGGGACCACCTGCTGGAGCCGGAGGCGGCCGACGGCGGCGGGGGCCCGCCTCAGGGCGGCTGTGGCGGCGGCGGCGGCTGGAGGGAGCGAGGCATCATGGCCGAGCACAATAAAGAGAGGCTTCTCGGGAGGGAGGGAGGGGGAGGAGGGCGGCGGCGGCGGCGGCTGCGACCGCGACCGCTACGAGCCGCTGCCGCCCGCGCTGCCGGCCGCCGGCGAGCAGGACTGCTGCGGGGAGCGCGTGGTCATCAACATCTCGGGGCTGCGCTTCGAGACGCAGCTCAAGACCCTCTGCCAGTTCCCGGAGACGCTGCTGGGCGACCCCAAGCGGCGCATGAGGTACTTCGACCCGCTCCGCAACGAGTACTTCTTCGACCGCAACCGGCCCAGCTTCGACGCCATCCTCTACTACTACCAGTCGGGCGGCCGCATCCGCCGGCCGGTCAACGTGCCCATCGACATCTTCTCCGAGGAGATCCGCTTCTACCAGCTGGGCGAAGAGGCCATGGAGAAGTTCCGCGAGGACGAGGGCTTCCTGCGGGAGGAGGAGCGGCCCCTGCCCCGCCGCGACTTCCAGCGCCAGGTGTGGCTGCTCTTCGAGTACCCGGAGAGCTCCGGGCCGGCTCGGGGCATCGCCATTGTGTCCGTGCTCGTCATTCTCATCTCCATTGTCATCTTCTGCCTGGAGACGCTTCCCGAGTTCCGCGACGAGAAGGACTACCCCGCCGCGTCGTCTCAGGAGCAGTTCGAGGCGGCCAGCAACAGCACGTCGGGGGCCCCCGCCGGAGCCTCCAGCTTCTCGGATCCCTTCTTCGTGGTGGAGACTCTGTGCATCATCTGGTTCTCCTTTGAGCTGCTCGTGCGGTTCTTCGCTTGCCCCAGCAAAGCCACCTTCTCGCGAAATATCATGAACCTGATAGACATCGTGGCCATCATCCCTTATTTCATCACTTTGGGCACCGAGCTGGCCGAGCGACAGGGCAACGGACAGCAGGCCATGTCCCTGGCCATCCTGAGGGTCATCCGGCTGGTGCGGGTCTTCCGCATCTTCAAGCTCTCCCGGCACTCCAAGGGGCTGCAGATCCTGGGCCAGACGCTGAAGGCTTCCATGCGGGAGCTGGGGCTGCTTATCTTCTTCCTCTTCATTGGGGTCATCCTTTTCTCCAGCGCGGTCTACTTTGCCGAGGCAGACGACCCCACTTCGGGTTTTAGCAGTATCCCGGATGCCTTCTGGTGGGCAGTGGTAACCATGACAACAGTAGGTTACGGTGACATGCACCCGGTGACCATAGGGGGCAAGATTGTGGGGTCGCTCTGTGCCATCGCTGGTGTCTTGACCATTGCTTTGCCAGTCCCCGTGATTGTTTCCAACTTCAATTACTTCTACCACCGGGAGACAGAAGGGGAAGAGCAAGCCCAGTACATGCACGTGGGAAGTTGCCAGCACCTCTCCTCTTCGGCCGAGGAGCTCCGAAAAGCAAGGAGTAACTCCACTCTGAGTAAGTCGGAGTATATGGTGATCGAAGAGGGGGGCATGAACCATAGCGCTTTCCCCCAGACCCCTTTCAAAACGGGCAATTCCACTGCCACCTGCACCACGAACAATAATCCCAACTCCTGTGTCAACATCAAAAAGATATTTACTGACGTTTAATATATGCTGTAAGTGACAGGCTGTGCTCAGTATTGTGTGGAACGTGCCCCCTTGGTCTGTGTATGCCCTTGTTTTATACATTTCCAGACCATTCATCAAGGAAAGGACGTGAAGAAGTGGAAAGCACACTTCATTTTCCCTCTCCCTACTGCTTCATACTGAAACAGGTGTCTGTTTTGCAAGTGGGCTGCATTCTCTCAGCTCTCCATTTTTTTCTCCCCCCCTTCTCTAATATCACAAGGAACAAACTTACTTTAAACTTCATTTCTAGTACACACCCTCTTAAAAAAAAAAAAAAAAAGTACATCCTGGGAGGAAATGAAACTAAAGAACAGTTAGAATAACTGCCTAACCTCAGTATGGAAAGTTGTTTCTTTACTAAGTAAAGAGGCACATACTTAAAGGATGCTTCCGATTACTAGACCTTTTAACATTATTGAATATTTAGTTCAGTTGTCTTCATTGTGGATGCGTGGATGAGAAGTCTAATTAGAACAATGACTTGTAAACCCACCATAAGTTTATTTGGTTTTTGACTGGAATTTCTATTTGGAATACCTCCTGGAATTTTAAAGACTTCTACAACTTTGAACAAAGGGAAATACCCGCGGTGTCCTGATCTAATTAGTTGAACTCTTTGGGGCTTGGTAAGCATTTCGAAAGGGGGGTAGACAGGCAGATTCCTCTGAAGTTCTGTGTGTGCGTTCCAGGCAACATCTTTTCAAAGTGTAGAAACAGATGTTTTCAGTGCTGCTGAGAAAAACAAACAGAATTCCTAATGCGTCTGCGAGATAAGCTTCTGCAGTATCAAAAGAAGATTAAAGTGGCAGACACTCCTTCCAGCGGAAGTTACTAATTCGGACCTGACTGATGCAGTTCCCATAGCAACCCATGTTTCCTGGGAAACCCGAAAAAGGTTGTCATGGCATCTCTTGCTCTCTAGCCCCACCCCCTAGCCCCTGCCGTTTCCACAGTAACCTTTCCAGATGGTTCCTCCTTACAGGATTTCATAAGGAAAACCACTATTTGAATAAACCGCACAAATAAGTTTACGTCTGAGAATCTGAGGTGGTGAACTGAATCACAAACAATGCATTTTTTTTTTACTACAGAAAATCATTGATATCTCATAATGACTGAATTGGAAAGAAAAATATTGCCTTTGGAATGTTAGATATATACTCCAATGAGGCATGATTTGAATTGGATGCCAATAATTAGGCAATAACTTAAAAGGATACTGTTTTCTTCCTCCAAGAAGTTTCAAGCCAGCAAGTGAAATTTAAAAGCAAATGTAAAAGTGTTCTGTACATAAGCAAATGAAAGATTCAATCGGTGTACCTGAAACCTTACTACAAGGGACCTTCAGACTTCCTCTTCAAAAAAATTCCAGAATCCGACAACAGCACTTGAAAAGCTAAATAAACTTTAAAACTATAAAGGATGCGTGTTTTTTAACTGAAGGAATTGCAGACAATCAATAAAAAGGAGGGACTGGAAGTAACCATATCTTGGGAAAATACCTGCAAGTTTCAGCCATATACAAAGGGTTGCCAGAAGACAAACGGAATCAGGTGAGCACTGTGGGGGTATTGAGAGCTCTCCCTCTTTGGACAGGGAACCAGGGAAATGCTGTTCCTCTCTAGATTGGCGATACTTGCAAAACCAATAGTTTCATATTAGTTACATGCAAGTGCCTTTTAAAGATCACTTACAACATCTTTTCCATTTGATTTCCCTGTTGTTAACTGTCCTTTGGTTTCTACTGTTTATGGCAAAAGGGTGGGTGGGTGGGGGGAGTCATTGCTCTTTAGAATAACCTTCACCCAAACTGAACTGAAAATGATTCCATTCCTTTTACTAACCCTTTTGGCTTCTGAACAACCTGTTTCCCCTTAAAAAAAAAAAAAAAAAAAAAAGGATAAAAGGCAGAACCTACTGCTGTTAGATTATAGGCCCAGTTTTAATTTACGTAATTAGTAGTATGCAGTAGTACAGTTTTAAACAAAAATGGTTAAGCTTACAACAAGGGTAACACTATATTTTAACAAAATCATTTTATTTTATATACATTGTAGGTATTATACTATATTTTCCACAGTTATACATTGTGCACAGTTGTTTTTTTTATTTTGATACAGTATAACTATTCTATCCTAAAGTAAATGAGAGTAACCTTAATTCTAAAACCCATAACGTTTTTTCAGGTAATCAGAAGCCTACTTAATTATTTGTGTAGTTAAAAAGAATGGTGAAGACTTATAGAGGGGGAAGAGGAAGGAAAAGACAAAAAATTAATAGAGGCATGAAATCCATATACCTGGTCATGGGGTCACTGCTTTTATCTCTATGTGCGTCAAAATAGGACTCCTTTATCTAGTGTCCTTTGCTACTTGTTTGAGTTACTTTTACCATTGATCTACCTTTTGACCAAATTCTTGGTATTCTTAATGACCAGACATTTTTTTGTGACCCATTTTGGTGGTAATATGTTAGACACACTATAGTAATAACATTAAGAATAATTTTCGTATCTCTTCTTATCTGTTCTTTTATATATGATCTTGACGTGAAGATGAACAGAGTGCAGTGACACTTTTATTCACTTTTATTTAGATGATATAGAAACCCTATTATTTCTATAAATAAATTATAGTTGTACCATAATTTTTAGAATTGTGTTGTTATTAATAGTAATATGAAGAAGACTTTTTTTTTTCAATCCAGAGACATACAACTTTTTGAGTCATCACTTTGAGGTAGTATACTTGTCTCCAGTTGCCAAATTATAAGCTCCTTAAAGGTTGTAGGTTCTGTATTTTGGCAAATAACAGATTTTGGACACTAGTGCCTAGCACAAAATGTAGCACTTTGTATGTATTCAGTGCATATTTGATGAGTGAATGGCTGTAATCTTATGTTATTTTCAGGTTTTTAATGAAGTGATTTGAAGCATAAGCTCTGCAGTCATACTGCCAGGGTTTGAATCCTGACTCTGCTCTATGAACAAATTACTTAACCTCTCTGTGCCTCGGTTTCCTTATTGGTGAAATGAGGATAATAAATAGTACCTCATAGAGTTCTTGTGAATATTGAATGTTGATACAGGTATAATAGTTAGGAAAAATACTTGCATGGCATGCAGCAGAGATTTTGCTGAGAGATTACATTATTATTGTGATCATTACTTACAAGCATTATATAATTAACACTGAGCTTTGTGAATGATATGAAATATATAAGCAATCAGTGTCTTCCTATTTACTTTCTGTGTGTCTATAATAATTACCATGTAATTACCATGTCCTGGACACTTCTCAACTCTGCAAGGTAAGTGGTATTCACCCCACTTTAGGAGGGTAAAAAATAGATAGTTATGGTTAAGTGATTTCCCGAAGACTTCACAGCTAGCAAAAAACCCAGCTATGATTTAAAGCCAGGTCATTCTGGCCCCCAAACCCCTGTTCCTTTTACTGGGTGACTTGAAAAAGATTGAAAAAATAAATCTCTTCGGCTTTAAGGTTTGACTTCAGCCCATGTCACTAATTAACGAATTCATAAATATATCTCCAGAAACCTATCTTATGCAGTATATTGAGAATTAACCCTTTCCTAATCATCAGAGATTTTTAACCATAGGGATCAAATATAAGGTATTTAAATTGAACAAAGAGATCGACTTTTCTAGTAATAAAAGATTATTTTCCTATATGATTGATTTATCTGCATTTAATATTATACTCAGAAAGCATAATCAGTCATAGTAGTAATACCTGCTAGGACAATAGATATTTTTCAGTTTTAAGATTAATTTCCTATTTCCATGTGTTTAATCTACAGTAGATGATAGTATTATGCAAATTGTTATTTTTCCATCTGCTTATACTTTGCTTAGGTTACTGAAGAACCATGCCAGCAAGTGGCGTAAATATTTTGACTCTCCCTTATTAAGAAAGGAGAAATTACTTAGAACAAAAGGATTGAAAGCAGAAGGAGATTGCCAGCTCATTGAAATTTGTGACATTAGTGCCTTACCCAGTCACTCCATGGATCTTTAAGAGCATCTGTGCTCAAAAACACATTAGAATATAATTTTGTCCCTCATAATAGCTGTAGCCCCTTCTCTAAGGTCCTAAATCATTCAGAAAAAGAAAGTGGATAGTGATTTGGACTCACAGCAAAATGCAAAGGGTCTAAGTTTACACATATCATTTAGCTTGGCCAAAACAAAGACTTCACTGTTGAGCTCAACTGCACATCTTGGATGTTGAAAGGTATGCATATGTCTGTGTGTACAAAAGATTCATGGGAGGAGGTGTGACTGGATCGGGGCACGTCTATCAACACCCTGGAAAAATGTATATACCCGATAGCTGGTGAATCCAGAAATGAAAATAACATTGTTATTTATTTCTTTTATGCTGCTTTCAACTGATAGTATACCAAATTTTAGTACCCACCAACTATGGTGACATAATCACAAACAGCTACACGTAAGAGGCAGCATTATATCAGTTATTTCTAAATTTTGAGACAAAATTTCTGGGATTGAAATTTTAAATGCAGAATATGAAGAAATTTAAAGTTATGGTTTGTTTACATAAAATTTGTTTTTACCTCTTTGGCATAAAACATACTCAAGCAACTGCTCTGGCGATAGTATATAAATTCAGTATATGTAATACCAATAGTTTTTTCCTTTAAGAACCATAACTATAATTTAATGACTTCCATACATTTAAAATTTCAACATTTTCTACAGCAGTTCCAAGTCCTTCCCACCTCTCAGCTGTGAGTAGAAGTGATAACCCCTCCCACCAAGAAATGCAAAGAAGCACAAGTGCCCCCCCCCACCCCCCAGTCTGAAGACTTACAGAAACACTGTGAGATGGAGGTGAGGAACGTAAGAATGGGGCAGAGGATATTTAGGGCTTGCATTTTAGGGTGGGGCTTTCTGTCTTTTATTTCACCTTTTAAACAGAGGCTAAGACTATTATTTCCGTGCTACTAATTTTCTGTATTTCGTTTTGACAATTTTATATATTAATGAAGTCACTTGTTTTCTATAACTTGCAGGGAATGGTTAAAAACCTTTGAAAGAGGGCAAATCAGGGGAGGCAGGAAGAAGGGAGGGAAGCCATGCAGAGCCCAAACTGTGTGCTATCATGACTCAGCTCCTAACCTCCTGCCAGAAAATGGCCATTGCTATAGAGTGTATGATAATTATATTCTTTATATGCTCACATTCACCTTGAAAATTTAATTTAAATGATTCAGAGGTTAGAAA